TACTGTAATGTTAGTGCTAACGCATTAGTACAATGTAATACACTAATCTACATATATTAAATGTTTATTTACATTATAAGTACATGTGTAACTATAATACCTAAAATACCAGGAGGATGAACAGCATAAGAAAACTCATGAGGAAATGAACAGAAGTTTTCAGCACAAGTTTGATTCATGTGCAGCAAATACAGCTCAGGGCCACTCCCTGTATGCATAGTATTGGGTAGCTTCCCTTTGAATGAGTAGCCCCCAGTCTGTGCCCTAAGTACTGCGCCTCCCAGCTTGTCCCAAGGTTAATAATGTTCTCTTAGTTCAGTTCCCTGTGTACAGTTCCTAGGTTTTGAATAAGCGGCGTGCAGAGATGGCTGTTTCGGCATTGAGTAGCCTGTGGGTTGAGCCCATGAACGAGTCCTTTAGCTCCCCCCTGCAGACCTCTGCCGCTGTACTGAGAGTAGCTGCTGGAGCAAATGGAGGACTCATTAGAAAATTTGCTTTTTCAAGTTGGTGTGTGTACAGGAATAGCCTTTTTTATCTGCTAGGAAAGCCTTGTGAAGCCAGGAAGTGGAGAACGCTTGCTCCAAAAGAAAGCTGAGGGAACAAGGCTTTGCCTCATGAATCCATCATGAGGGGAGAGCAGTGGCTGTTCTCTTCTTGGACTTCAGCAAGGCTTTCAACTTGTCTCCCACAACATCCTCATAGGCAAACTCAGGAAGTGTGGACTGGCTGAGTGAAGGATGAGGTGGGTTGAGAGCTGGCTGAGTGGCAGATCCCAGAGGGTCATGATCAGCAGCACAGGCTCTGCTTGGAGCCCTGTCACTGATGGTGTCCCCCAGGGTTCAATACTGGGCCCTGGTTTACTTGATTCATTGATGACTTGGAGGCAGAGGCCTCCTCAGCAGCTTCCCTGCAGACACAGAGCCAGGAGGAGTGGCCCATTCCCCAGGGAGCTGTGCAACCCTTCAGAAGGGCCTCGACAGGCTGCAGAGATGGGCAGAGAGGGACCTTCTGAAATTCAGCAAAGGCAGGTGCAGGTCCTGCTCCTGGGGAGGAACAACCCCCTGCACCAGCACGGGCTGGGTGCTGAGATCATAAAAAATAGCTCTGTGGAGAAGGACCTGAGGGTCCTGGTGGAAAACAAGCTGTCCATTGTCAGCACCACCAGCAGTGGCCAAGAAGGCCAATGGGATCCTGGGGTGCATCAGAGTATCATTGCCAGCAGGTCGAGGGAAAGGATCCTGCCCCCCTCCTCAGCCCTGGTGAGGCACATCTGGAATTCTGTGTCCAGTTCTGGGCTCCTCAGGGCAAGAGAGACTTGGAGCTCCTGGAGCAGGTCCGGCAGAGAGCTACAGGGATTATTAAGGAACCGGAGCACCTCACTTAGGAGGAAAGGCAGAGGCAGCCTGGCCTGTTCAGCCTCGAGAAGAGATGAATGAGAGGGGACCTTATCAATATCTGTAGGTTTGTGACAGGAGGGTGTCAGAGGATGGAGCCAGGCCTTTCTCAGTGGTGCCAAGCAATAGGACAAGAGGCAGTGGGCAGAAACCTATGCACAGAAGTTCCACTTGAACACGAGGAAGAATTTCTTTACTGCGTGGGTGACTGAGCACTGGAACAGGCTGCCCAGAGAGGGTGTGGAGTCTCCCTCACTGGAGATATGCAGGATCTATCTGGACACAATCCTGTGCCATGTGCTCTGGGATGGCCCTGAAGGTTGAACCAGGAAGACCCACTGTGATCCGTTCCAAGCTTGCCCATTTCATGATTCTGTGATTTGTCAAAAAGCTTTAAACTGGCTAACTTTGGTTGGATTTTATTTGGAATGGTAAATAGTACACTAGTAATTTGACACCCTGTTGTAATCAATCTGTGCTTCAAACATAAATGTTCCTGAGCTGTCCAAAGAAAAGGCAGTAATATAAATACAAACTATAAATACAAAGTAGAGCACTTTCCTTAGCCTTTTTGAATTTGCCAGAAAAACATATACCAGTATACCCATACTAGTAATTTTGAAAATTACTCAAAATTTTGTTGCATAGCAAATGCCCATGATGGAAAATTTCAATTTAGCCAAAGAGCTAAAGGCTAAAATTTAGCAAACTGTGAAGAAAAAATTACAAGGTCTTGCAAGCCTAAATAATGGGCAACCTTAGTAATAGATGGCATTTGCCTATAACATAGAACACAGCTTGGAAATAGTGTCTGTCCTATTTCTTCTGGATTCTCTAGTGTTGTTTTTACAGAAACTGTATTATTTTCCAAAGTTTATGAATCAATTCTGATTTTGTTGCAGCAGAATGAAGGTAGGAATCTCATACTCTGTGTTCTCAAATTGCTTGGCATGTCTAACCTACACATCCGCTTTATACCCACCTTTTGATATTCCACTGGAATTTAACAAATGAAGCAGAGATTAATATTAATGAAAAAATAGAAATTTCCATACATTTGTTGTCTGTTTTCATCAGGTGTCAGACATCACAGTGAGAGACGCCAATTTAAGAATCTAGACAGATTTAGGTAATTTCCTTGATGCTTGATGGCTATAATTAAATTAATTCTGGGAATCTGCACTGGCACTTCTGCCACACTGTGATTGTGGCCTCCAAGTTCCTAGTTATAAAGTTTTTAATGTTTTCTCTGCCACCTAGAACTGTGTGGGGACCAAATTCATGTTAATTTTGTGGCTGCAGTGCTAAAGAAGGATATGTAGAGGAAAAGGCCTGACTGTCTCCGAAAGCCACCCGTAATCCTCTCTGTGCTGAACCACATGTAAGTGTCAATAAGCATACTTGGGAGCATGGGGGCAGCATAGTTGGCCAGGTAGGGTAGTAAATTTAGGGAGCCACCACCCTGTGTGGCACCCTGCCTTTGAAAATAGCACAGTAATAAATAATGCATGCTGGTGTGCCGACCAAGCCAGCTTCACCCTGTCCAGACCTGTTGGTACAATGCGCTTTTTTGTCTGTCTGGAAGTATTCTGCGTCTTAGTGACCAAAGCTGTCTCTGCCCTTAGGAGCTGAAACAGAAAAGGCCAAGAGTCACACAAACAGAAAGTGACATTCCAATCTCAGTACCACATTGGAACCATTTATCTTCTGCTATTGCTGATGTCCTTTCTAGCAATAGGAAAATTCTGCTTTCCCTGTTGAGATCCATTGGTCACATCCTCCTATGGTGCTTCTGCAGCATATAGATGAATTTCAGTGTGATTCTTTAATCTCCCATGTTTTCCTCAGTGGCACAATTGTAAGACTTGGGTTTCTTCCTAAAGATACACTTCCTGGGAATGAAAATGCTCTTTAAGGCTTGCTAGTTCTTTGCTTCTTAGCTCTTCCTGCTCTGGACTGATTGCTCATGCTGATATCATGCTAAGGCATTATTTTGATGATGAAAGCTATAAATACTCACCAAGACATGACCTGGTATGCAAATACTTGGACTCAGTGACATGAATGCTTAGAGAAATCTTGTAAGTGCTAGGCCTATCAAAATAGTTCCTTAACTGTCTGCAGGGACAACTTCAACCCTTGGTGTTGGAAATGCAAGACAATGAAGCTCTCCAAGATGAATATTTACAGTCTTCCTTCTTCCTCAGGGACAACTTTCTTTGATAGCTGAGACTCAGTGGAAGCCATGGAACTTGATCTAACCTGGGTGAGAAATAACTGAATCTTCCCAAGCAACACTTGTACACAGGTGCACCTTATCTACACGAACAAAAGGAACTTAGTTTTTAATTGGTGTTAGTGTGGATGATAGGAACAAAGGTGACATTCCTTGAGTCTGAGATCCATTATTTATCTTGAAATCAGGTTCAGCATAAATAGTATTTGTGAAATATTTCCCCTACATTGACAATGAGTCTTGATTAATAATTAATAGTGTCTCTGGATGTTGAAGGACAATTCATTTCCTGTGCTTGGTAAATCTAGCACTGAGATCTCCTGTCAGTATCTGTCAGGGGAAGATTTATGATGAGACTTGGGACCAAAAATGAGCAAAGACTAGAAAATTCACTTCACACAGACCACTGAACAGTCACTGAATAATAATATTTAGCATTTCTTTGTGCATACAAATTAATGAAACCTCAGAACCTGCCCACATTTTAGTGCATTTTTAACTGTTTCCATGTCGGTGCCTTGTTTGACTAGTGAAATCATGAAAAACAGATGAGGCTTCCTATTTTCGTTTGGGCACCTGGTTTCTTGCTCAGGTTCATGGTTGCAGGCTGGAGGAGTAACTCACATGTGGTCAAGGAAAACTTTGGACTGAGCATGTCTACTGATTCTCTGCCCTGCTAACCTGCATATAGGTTATGCAGGGTTCACTTTCATACTCAACCCCATATACCCACACACTGATTATTTTTTCCCTCATTTTGTTTCTTACCTACTCCCAAATACCCAGAGAAGCTGGAAGACCAATAAACTCCCCTTTCATGCATTTTCAGGATTTTCAATATAGACAAGAAAGGATTGAACTCATCACATGGGCTCACCCAGTCTACCTCCCTGCCAGCACAGGGTTATTTCACACCATCCATCTCCTAATGTTATTTCAAGACTAATTTTAATTTAGGACATTCCTGCTTTTCACTTCTCCCCATTCTAATTATGATCTCCCTATCTACCTGAAATAACCTCTATTAAAAAAAAAAATAAAATAAAAATAAAGGGATGGTCTTAAAAAAAACAACTACAAAGAAATCAATCCCTCATCCATTACCAGGTTTTTCTTTTGTTCTGGAGCCACGCGTGTAACCCGGTTAGACCTGTTCTCTTTGAATGCCGAGGACTGAGCTGGCCTTATGCAAACGCTCTCAACCTCATCTTGGTTGTTGTCGTTGCAGATCCAATCAAATGAACAGGAAGTGACCTAAGGAATTCCCCTATTGGCTGCTTGAGTGTTCAGCAAAATGTTTTAAAATTAGTATCACATCCATTTATCTTCACTCCTGGGAGTCTTTAGTTGACATAACCTAGTACCTGTGCTTACCCAACCTACTATTCTGTAGACAGTTTTCCCATTGCCTCAGTTCAGGATTTCCACTCCAGAATCTGCAGCTAAATGAGGTAAGTTGTTTGGGGTATTAATTTTTTTTTCTTAAATGCACTTCCTTTAAAATAACACCAGTGACAATAACTAAAAAAAGAAAAAAATTGTCTGCTGGACTCCTGGCCACTATACCAAACCTCTCCCTTCCCACTTTGGAACAGCAGCTGAGGTCATTTATTCAAAAGGCTTTTTAATCTTGCAATAAAGATTTCTGCTTTCCTGGTTTGAACTTTTATCTTCTGTTTAAGTATTTCTCTTGTGTTTTGTTTGAGTGGGACGAGATCCTAAGAATCTTTTCTATTATGATGAATCCAATAATATTCCCAGTCCTAAATCTGCTACTTTTGTCAGCAGAGCTGTCATCTGTTCAGTAAGACAAGGGGTGAAAAAGTGGACTTTCTCAATGCTATGGAGAGCCTTTGTGTCACAGAATCGGGATAGAATGGCCGTGTTTCAGTTCATTTTAGTGATGAGGATGTTGATGGACATGGGGTTTGTAACAAAAACCCCTAAAGTACATTTATAATTTGGCTTGGTTTCAGCCTCAAGGCAGTTTCTTGGCAGTTGTGTGGTGAAGGAGATTCTGCTGATCTTAGTTCTGTCTAAGCAAAAACTGCACAGAACCCAGCTCAGGCACTGGGTAGGTAAATATAGTGTGAGGCCCGCAGTGTTTTTGCTTGTTTAATTTGTTTCTCTTCCAATAGTAATTTTATTTTAATAGAACCAGAACTGGCGCCTTAAGGTATAGACACAATTGTTAAGGTAGTTGTAGAAGAGAATGTGAAGAAAAAGTTGCTCCAAATCTGTGTTGATTTCGTAAAATATGTGCAATGGACTTAGTGACAAATGTTTGCATTTCACCCTGTGAGAGATTTTAGGCACATACTTGTGTGTACATTGTTATAGAGTTACTAAATTATATCAGTAATGTGCTTTTTGATTACTTCATCTAAAGACATATGTTGTGTTTGCTTCTAGAGTACATTCAACATCCTTTCTTTCCTACCTTTGCCATTTTTTAGAACCAAACAACTATTAGAATTAAACAAGCTCATAATGACAGAAATGTACCTTGAGGTAAAAGTTTCATTTAGTCTTTTTTTTTTATACTTGTCTCACTTGATGCCATGTTAAACAGATCTAACATGCCCCAGTATTTCCTGCAATTTGTGAAAACTTCAGTAAAATTAAAAAATGTGCTCCTTTAAGTTTTGCTTTGATAGGAAATTTGCAGGTGTAGTTTAAGCCAGTTGTCTGAAATCTGTTTTGCACTGTAGAAAATATCAGAGCTGGAAAATATAGCAGTTGTCTATTTAATGCAAATGCAGAAACTAAAGAAAAAGCCTGCAATTAAAACTAGAAAAACAACAGGATTAAGATGTTTCACTTACAAATATCACAATGACAGTTTAATTCCTGCCCCGTACAATTTTCAAAACCAAGTGATTGTTGCAATAACAACATAAGACTTGCCAGAATTTTTCAGAGATAATTGTGTGACTTCAAGTAGAGCTTATATTTTAGAAAACTTCCAATTGTGAAAAAAAAGTCCAGAAGTCCAGTGATGGGAAATTCCCCAGAATGTTTTTAAGTCCCCCAGCAATTAAATACCATTCTTCTAAAAATATCTAATTTTCAGTCTGACATGGTCTTGCTTTAACAATCAGCCACCTGATTTGTTGTCTTTAGGTGGTTATTGAGAAGTTCCCCTGGGTTGGAAATTTCTGTTCCTTGTGTAGTTAGCAGGGGACAAGTCCTTTCTTAGCCTAGTCTCTGATAATTGTGTTAGTCTGAGCTCCAAAGCCTGTTGCTTTTCACGGAGAAACTTGCAGTACAGTGAAGGATCTTAACCTGTTTCACTGTAAACTTTTCCATCCTTTAATCACTTCAATTCTGTCCTCTAATTTTTCAACATTAGCTATGAAATTTGGATGTCAGGATAGATCAGAGTCTGTAGAGTTCCAAACAGAGATATTATGAGTCAATACACTGGGAATTCCAGTTCAGGGGTTTATGAAGTGTGCCCAAGGCTTTTGTAGAGCAGCCATCCTCCAGACACCCTTCTCCCCCTTGAGCACTGGTCCTGTATGCAGAGACGAAGTTTTCATTAGCAGAGTCAATGTTCCCTTGTATTTAGCATTTCTATTTTTTTTTTTCTACTCCAAGTGTCACTTGTAAAGCCTATAACAATGGTAAAATACATATTTTCCCCAAGTCCTGATAATAAAGGCTCTCATATCAGATCAGAATATCTCTTTGCTTGCCCCAGCACAAGTTAGGTCACACTCCACAGCCACCTAAAGAGTGAGAACCATATATTTACCCCAGTTGTGGTGAGATCAGGTAGTAGAATGTGGTCTGTTTTACACGGAATATTATTACCTTCTTGTCACCTGAGAGACTATGCTGTGGTATTGCCACAGTAATTTCTTATTACTTTAGATATTCTCAGGGTGTTGTGGGTTATCAGCACTGGTGGAAACAGACAATAGGACAGTAGAAGAAGTGAAAAATTAAATCATTTGGCTCCCACTCAACTTCCTTAATTTTTTTTCATTCCCAGTGAATTTTCTTGTTAACATCTTGTTCTGTCTGGGAAGTTGCAAGGTAGCAAGCTGCAGTGGAAAGAGCTCAAACTAAAAAAATAATCATCCAGAAACACAGATGGAGAGAGATTAGAGAGGAAAAAGAAGGATTTCTGTATGTGCATCTGTGTTCAGGCAGCAGTGATATGTTGGTCTGTTGTGTGTCCCACAGCAATTTGCACCAAACTCCCCTGTGAAGATGGAATTCTACACCTGCTGAAGAAGTGTGTATTTATGTACAATTCTCACAGAAAAGGATTAATGATTTTATTGACTCAGCAAACTCAGAGAACTGCCCACGAGCCATGACACCTTACCAGAATCAGCGCTTAGCTTTCCTTCCTTGTTTGCCCCTTCCATGCTTTTTATAAATATATTTAATTTAGTGACAAGACCAAGTCAGGAGAACTTCTCGCTAACCATAATGTAGCCTGGATCTGTTCTGTGGAGTCTACAGTCACATGCTTTCTGTTGCTGTTAGCTTGTTCAGATTCAATCCTCACAAAATTGTCTGACCTCTCTCTGCAATACTATGAATACCATCTCTGTGAACTGGGGCGATGACCTACTGTACGGAGAGACAGGTTGGAAGGTGGGTGCTCCAGGACAGACCTGTCTGGCTTAAAAATTCGTCAGTGTGCTGAGATCGAGATACAGATAGAGATGAATGACCCTTTCTTAATCTGAAGGCAATATGCCCACCCTTTGTAGGATTTTCTGGTCTTACAGGGCTCTCTTTCTCATCAGCCTTCCTACAGCTGTAAAGTAGGTATTCTTGCTGAGGTATAGGCATTCCTGCAACAAGCAACACATAAAAAGAAAACGGCCACAAACTTCATTGTCATTTGTCATTACTAATGACACACAATATTAGGATGTGGTAGAACAAAATGAACAAAATGTAAAGGCTTTTTTTTTTTTTTCCACATCCACAAGGAAATGAACAGAAACACTGTTTTTGTAGCTAACATAGTTTGTGATGTTTGATGAAGTAAAGTGTCTGTCCCATCTCACAGCTTCACTACTACTGAATTTCAGCCATAAGCTCATGGAATTTTGTTCCTAATAATAAGTGCCTTGTGAGCATTGGTGTTGTTCAACACCATCTTCAGCAAAGTGCTCTGGCTTCAGCTGCTCAGCTGGTGTCCAAGGGCACTTCAAGATCTCTAACCACAAATGGCTGCATCTCTCCCTCACTGTCCCTGCCTCAGCACACTCTGCAGCCTACATGTGTTATGGTCTCTGATGATCCCAGGATGTTTTTCAGTAAGTGTTCAAGAAAGGGGTACATTGTAGACTTGGTAACACTGGTACTCACGAGTAACACTGCTGATCGAAAGGCTAAGCAAAGAAGGAGTTGTTCTCACAGCTGGTATACAAAAAAAAAGTAAGGATTTATTTTTGTTTTTGAGGAAGTCATCAGGAGTCTTAGTATGAGAGCTCCTTTGAGCTCTACTGGGGATGCAGTTTGCACCAAATCCCTCATGAATGCCTAAAATACTTGGGGCGTTTGTTGGTCATTGGTCTACAGACGGGTGCGAATGAGTAAACATGGAGTCATGTAGCCAGTGGAGCAATCGACTGGCATTTGGCATTTTGCATGTCTCCCTCTGAGGAAGAGCCCTCAAAGGCTGCCTTTCCAAAAGCTGACATTGCACATGGTTATCATTACCTGTTCCTCTGCTGATCTTGTGAAATGTGCTTCACAGGAAAGAGTATGAGATCTAGTAGACAGAACAGCCAACTGGAGCTGGGTGATCACTGGTTATACACCAAATAGATGGGGAAATAAAAGAGAATTGCTTGGTGGTGGTGGGAAAAAAAGTAATTTTACCTAAAGGAGCTACAAAAAAGTGGAATAAAAGTTCCTGCCTATTATGGAGGAAGGATACAGACATAAATATTTGAGATATTTTCTCAAGCACAATCAGATGTAGCCAGAATAGTCTCCTGAGCCCCTGTAAGTCTGTAAGGATTAAGCAACTATGTGTAAAAATGTATTCTATTGCCTAAATTAGTAGCGCCATCACAAGAAGAGTTGGTTTTGTTTTTTAAAACCATTCCCAGTTTTCTTTCATTTAGCAGTGAGCAGTTAATTAATTTATGTTGCTATATAGTTAAAGAACCCTTGTAAAACTGCCCAAGATGCTATGGTCAGGAATCAGAACCATGATATAGTGATTACCCCCAAACTTTCTTAATGATTTTTACTGCAACATGTAATTATTATTACACAATAGTTTAAAAGCTTGCATCTTGATGATGCACTTTCAAAGTAGGCTTGGTTAAGCAATTGTCTCATAGATTGGAGGGGCTTATCAGGGAGTCAAATTCTGACACACTCAAGGGTGCTGTTCTCATCTCTTTTGCAGTGAGATCTAACATAGTACTCACATAAAAGACTTAATATTCCCAGGCACCTGCCCTGACAG